AGCAACCAGGATGATGAGGGGATTGGAGACTAAAACATACGATGGAACTGGGCCTGGCTGGTCTAGGGAAGAGAAGGACCAAGGGAGACATGAGAGCATCTTCCAATATTTGAGGGGCTGCCCCAGAGAGGAGGAAGGGGGTCAAGCTATTTTTCCAAAGAACCCAAAGGCCAGACAAGAAACTATGGATGGAAACTGACCAAGGAGAGATTCAACCTGGAAATAAGGAGAAATTTCCTGACAGTGAGAACAATCCACCGATGGAACAGAGAAGTTGCCTTCAGAAGTTGTGGGAGCTTCATCCCTGGAGGTTTTCAAGAAGAGGCTGGACTGCCATCTGTCAAAAATGGTGCTTGGGCGGGGGGTTGGACTAGATGACCTACGAGGTCTCTTCTAATTCTGTTAATCTGTTAAATACTGGGAAGCCCCTTGCAGAGACCCAGACCCAGTCAAAGCCCTGGAGAAGAGATCCCCCTTGGTGGAGGAGAGCTTACACAAGAGTTTACCCAGATGTGTTATTCTGGGCGTCTCCTGTCCAACAGTTGGCCTGGAGGAGGGTCTTCGGTCCTCTGGGCTTTCCTTGGGGCCAGTGATGAAGCCCCTTGCCACTCTCCTGCCACCCTGGTTGTAGACTTTGCAATGAAGGCAGCTGTGGAAAGTTGCACCAGCTGCTGGTATTCCTCGGCTTACGACCACAGTGGAGCCCATTGCTGAGCGAGACAGTTGCTAAGTGAGTTTTGCTCCATTTTACGACCTTCCTTGCTGTGATCCTTAAAGAGAATCACTGCAGGTGTTAACTTAGTGAGACAAAAACTGTTCAGTGATTCTGGTTTCCCCCATTTGACTTTGCTGGTCAGAAGGTCGCAAAAGGGGATCGTGTGATCCTGGGACACGGCAACAGTCATAAATATGAGTCGGTTGGCCAAGCGTCTGGATTTTGATCACGTGACAATGGGGATGTTGCAACGGTCATAAGTGTGAAAAACGGTCATAAATCACATTTTTTCCAGTCCCGTTGTAACTCCAGTTACTAAATAAGAGGTCGTAAACCAAGGACTACCTGTATTAGTGGCAGCTAGGCTAATCCTGGTCTTTCCTTCACACCTGCCCTCAGTGTTCATGTCACGGACCAGGTTTGGGAGGGCAGGATCAGAATTGAGGTCTTCTAGTCCAACCCCCTGCTGAACCAGGAGACCTATACCATTTGTTAAGGAATTCGCAGAGCAAGCCTTGAGTAGCAAGGGTGTGCACATGAAAGCGATTGAGAGTAATTAGGAAATAACACAGCCAACACACAGATACACTGAGTTGTGTTTACTTTCAGGAAATAGTAATAAGGCACAGTCCAATAAACAGTCCAGGTCATACACAGATAAATCAGTAGATAGTAAAACAATTGTCCAGGGATAATCCAATAACAAAGTCTTCTTACCAGTCATTGTAGTCAAACACAATAATCAGTTCTTCTATATTTGCAAACAGTAGCAAACACAGCAAAGATATCAGCAAAGAGATTAGCAAAGAGAAACAAACCAGGTTTCTAGCTCCCTCTTAAGAACATTGGCTACAGAGCTAACCAATCAGGACACAGTGTGATGCAATACAGCAGTCTTAAAGCTACATTGATGGTTTATATATTGCCAACCCAACAAGTTAGGTAAAATCATTTCCTAACACCATTTCAGACAAATGGCTGTCCAGTCTCTTCCTAAAAAACCTCCAGTGATGAAGCACCCACATCGTCTAGTGGCAAGCTGTTCCACTGGTTAATTGTCCTCACTGTCGGGAAGTTTCTCCTCAATTCCATGGCAGCCCCTGGCTACAACATCTGGATTCTGGACAGATGTACAGAGCATTCTCACTTGAGTGGTTTCCTTTCGGGTTATGCGGGCCTGATGGAATCAGGGGAGCTTTTGCAAATACCCGACCCCACCCCCATCCTTGATCCTGGAAGAGTGCCAAGGCCACGCCCCTCCATGGTCCATCACCTGGACATGTACCTGGTAGTACATGTACCTGGGCACGATTTTCTAGCAAATTTAACATCGTTTGATGGTTCTCTCCGAGCCTTTCAATGTATACAGATTGTCCTCGACTTACGACCACAGGTGGGAGGAGAATTAAACTTGCTAAGCAAGACAGTTTGCAGTGTTTCCCAAACTTGACCCTTTGAAGATGTATGGACTTCAACTCCCAGAATTCCTCAACCAGGCATACTGGCTGGGGAATTCTGGGAGTTGAAGTCCATACATCTTCAAAGGGCAGGGCACAATGAGAATATATCTGCTGAACAAAACTCCGCATTGGCAACAGGAAAGGCATCCGGCCATTGAACACTCTGCTAGCTTCATTCAGTTGCCCAGACTCCTCCCCACAAGGGATTCTGGGGTCATTAAAAGAGGAGGATACAGGGCAGCTGGCTGGGGAATTCTGGGAATTGAAGTCCAGGAGGCTTAAAAGTGGCCAAGGTTGGAGCACCCTGATGTAGAGTCTCCTGCCATGGGCAGGGGGGGTTGGACTAGAAGACCTCCAAGGACCCTTCTGACCCCGTGATTCCCTAACCCAGCATGCTGCGATTGTGTCAAATGCTGGTTTGCCTGGCGCCCAAATTTTGATCACGTGACCCCAGGGATGCCGCAACGGCCAGTCACAAGTCAATTTTTTTGCAGTGCTGACAGTCACTAAACAAAACGGATGTAAATTGAAGACTACCTGCAATCTGTTTAGGAGGGAACCTTGTCAAAGTGAAGAAGTTGGTTTCAAAATTCATGTATTTGTTGAATTTCTGAGGCTGCCCATCTTAGTCACTGACTCTCAAAATTGAACCAAGGGGAACTTGGGCTGGAAGGGACCTCAGAGGTCATCTAGCCCAACCCCCTTCCCAAGGCAGGAGATTGACATGCCCAGACCCATTTACTGACCCCTGTTCCCTGCACAGTTTTAACAGAGCCTCTCCTCTGCTGGATTCCTTGCCTTGCCTGGATCCCAAAATACAGGTAGTCCTCGACTTACGACCACCATGGAGGCCAAAATTTCTGTTACTAATCGAAACATGTTGAGTAAGTTTGTCTCCATTTTACGACCTTTCATGCCTGCGGTTCTTAAGTTAGTAAAATGGGGTTGTTAAGTGAATCCGGCTTCCCCATTGACTTCGTTTGTCAGACAGTCACAAAAGGGGCTTCAGGACACTGACCGTCATAAATATGAATCAGTTGCCAAGTGTCTGGATTTTGCAGTGGGGATTCTGTAATGCTCGCAAGTGTGAAAAACGGTTATAAGTCACTTTTTTCAGAGCCAAACGGTCACTAAGCAAACTGTTTTAAGTCAAGGACTACCTGTATCTCCTTTTTGCTGTGTTTGCAAAATAATCGTGGGGTCCTGAAAGTGGGGGCTGGGATGGGGATGGGGACGGGCACAATTGAGATGGTGGGAAGAGACCTTAATTAAATTAATTTTGCGTTTTCTTGGTCTAGTTCAGTGTTTCTCAATCTTGCCCACTTGGAGATGGGTGAACTTCAACTCCCAGAATTCCCCACCAGCAGGAAATCGGGAAGGCAGCCAGCTGGAGCATTGTGGGAGCTGGAGTCCACCCATCTTCAAGTAGCCAAGGAAATGGGGATTTAACATCTATATCAGGGGTGTCAAACTTGATTTCACAGAGGGCTGCTTCAGGGTTGTGTTTGACCTCAGGGGTCTGGGTGGGCATGGCCAGTTCGATGTCACTCATGGTGGGGCCACCTGTGGCAGCCCCAGCACTCTGCCAGCAAAAACGGAGTTCCATTTTCAGTGGTAGAGGGTCGCAGGAGGCCATTGCAGCTAAACAGGGAGATGGGAAGGGCCGCGGATTTTCGGTGGCAGAGGCACCGCGGGCCACTCCTTCACTGTTTCCAGGGTGGCCCCACGGGGCAGATCTAAGCACCCCGCAGGCCTTGAGTTTGACACCCCTGATCTATATGAAGCCACAGATCTGGGGGGCAATGTAGAATGGCCCATCATATTTTTCAACCTTATAAACTTTTAAGATAGGTGGACTTCAACTCCCAGAATTCCCCAGCCAGCCGGAAAGTGAGTAGCCAGCCAGCGGGAGCATTGTGGGAGTTGAAGTCCATCCATCTTCAAGTGGCCAAAGAAATAGGGATTTAATATCTACGGTATATGAAGCCACAGATCTGGGGGGCAGTGTAGAATGATCCATCAGTTCAAATAGACCAATATTTTCCAACCTTACAAACATTTAAGGTAAGTGGACTTCAACTCCCAGAATTCCCCAGCTTGCTGGCTAGGGAATTCTGGGAGTTGAAGTCCTCCTATCTTAAAAGTTTATAACATTGACAAAACGCAGGTAGACCTCGACTTACAAGCACAATTGAGCCCAATATTTCCACTGCTAAGTGAGACAGCTGTTAAGTAAATGTCCCATTTTACGACCTCCCTTGCCACCGTTATTAAGCGAATCACTGCAGTGCTTAGATTAGTCCCACGCTCGTTAAGTGAATCTGGCTTCCCCATGGAATTTGCTCGTCAGAAGGTCGCAAAAGGGGATCACGTGACCCCGGGAGAATGCGACCGTTGTAAATAGGAGCCAGCTGCAAATTTTGATCACGGGGAATGCTGCAACGGTCGTAAGTGTGAAACAGCACTATTTTTCAGCACCGCTGTAACTTTGAACAGTCTGTTGTAAGTCGAGGACTACCTGTACTGGTCTAGTTAATTGGAAGCACCCCCTTTTGTGCCGGGGCACAATGTTCCCCTTGAGCAGAGCAGCATACAAGCCCCTAAGGAAGTTTCACCTGAATTCACCATTTTTGTGCCCACATGGGAGGTCAGCCTTCTCCCCTTGGGTCCTTCTCCTGATCTCTTCCACCCCGACTGGGAGGTCTTAACGGGGGGGGAGGGTGGCTGAGGGGTTCCCTCTCCTCCGGCCGGTCAAGCAAATGTCCGCCTGTCCACCTCTGTCTGACCAGCCGGCTCTCCTCACGCTGTCTCCCTTCGGCCTGCAGGTGAAAATAATGACCGACAAGGAACTCCTGGCCGTTGCTTGCGAGCAGTTCTTGGGGAAGAATGTCCAGGACATCAAGAACGTGGTTCTGCAGACGTTGGAGGGACACCTTCGGTCCATCCTGGGTGCGTATCGGCCGGGGGGAAGGTGGCTTAACGGCGGTCAGGAATAAATGGCTTGCAGAGCACTCGTCACTCAACCACAAACTGCCTCCTCCTTGTCAGGCCAGGCCAGGTCAGGCGACATAGGATGGTAGATACTCAGAGACACTCAGGAGGTATCCAGGTCATGGTAGTCCCAAAGAGCCTTGATAGTACAGGGGTTTAGTGCACCCTGTTATTAACACAGCTGCCTGCAATTTCTGCTGGTTCGAATCTCTCCAAGGCTCAAGGTCGACTCAGCCTTCCATCCTTTCTAAGGTAGGTGAAATGAGGACCCAGTTTGTGGGGGCAATAAGCTGACTTTTCTATAAATATACAAAAGGATGAAGGCTATTGCTTAATGCGTGGTAAGCCGCCCTGAGTCTCCGGAGAAGGGCGGCATATAAATCAAATTTTTTAAAAAAATGCTTTTTCCGACAGGCAATTGGAGTTGGGTTTTTTTTTCCCCTTTGGAAACATTTTGCTTCTCATCCAAGAAAAATAGGTGGTCCCTGGATCAATAGTAGTAACTCTGTGAGCCGGATCTTGGAGTCCTAGTGGACAACCATTGAGATAGGAGCCAGCCGTGTGCAGCAGCTGCCAAAAAAGCCAACCCAGTTCTAGGCTGCATCAACAGAGGGAGAGAATTAAGATCATGTGAGGGGTTAAATACCACTTTATAAGGCCTCCGTAAGGCCACGCTTGGACTAATGGATCCAGTTTTGGTCACCACAATGTAAAAAAAGATGTTGAGAGCCCAGAAGGAATGCAGAGAAGAGCAGCTAATGATGATGAGGGGTCTGGAGGATCAAACATGGAAGAACGGTTGCAAGAATTGGGAATGGCTAGTTTGATGAAAAGAAGGACCAGGGGTGACATGATAGTGTTCCAACATTTGAGGGGCTTCCCCAAAGAAGAGGGGGGGGTGTCAACGTATTTTCCAAAGCACCCGAAGGCCAGATGAGAAGCAATGGATGAAAGATAAGGAGAGAAGCAACCTGGAATTAAGGAGAAATTTCCTAACAGTCAGGACTATTAACCAGTGGAACTGCTTGCCACCAGAAGTTGTGGGGGCTCCATCACTGGAGGCTTTTGAAGGAGACACTGGACAGCCCTTTGTCTGGAATGGTGTAGGGCCTCCTGCTTGAATAGGGGGCTGGACTAGAAGACCCCCAAGGTCCCTTCCAACTTTGTTATTCTGCTTGTCAGAAGGTTGCCAAGGGGGATCAGTTGCCCCAGGCACTGCGACCGTCATAAATACATGCCAGTTGCCAAGTATCCGAATTTTGATCACGTGACCCTGGGGATGCTCCAATGGTCGTATGTCTGAAAACCCGACGCACCACTTTTTTCAGTGCTGTTGTAACTTCAAACAGTCCCTAAATGAGCGGTTGTAAGTCGAGGACCGTCAGTAACCGCCTGCAAACCCAGGCAACGGAGTCCCTTTTGAGAGTTGCTCCCCTCCAGTGTGCGTGTGTTGTGGGTGCATGATTTCCTTCTGGGCCTTGCAGGCACTCTGACCGTGGAGCAGATCTATCAGGACCGAGACCAGTTTGCCAAGCTGGTGCGGGAGGTGGCGGCGCCAGACGTGGGCAGGATGGGCATCGAGATCCTCAGCTTCACTATCAAGGTAGAAGGGGATGGGGCCAGGGGCAGCCTGGAGGGAGGGAGGGAGGGAGGGGGAGCTTCCCAGAGAGGCCAGGTGAGAGAAAGACGGGGAAGATGGCTGCTCCCTCACGGTTCCCAGAGAGTCGAGTCTTCAATCCGGCAAGATTCTGTCTCGAGGTCTGGAGACACTGAAGAGCTCAGCTTGGAAGAATCCCACCTGTCATTTTTGGTTTGTGGCCTGACATATGGTGGCTGAGGGATTCTGGGAGTTGAAGTCCACACATGGTGGCTGAGGGATTCTGGGAGTTGAAGTCCACAGGTTGTGACAGGGATTCTGGGAATTGAAGTCCACACATGGTGGCTGAGGGATTCTGGGAGTTGAAGTCCACAGGTTGTGACAGGGATTCTGGGAATTGAAGTCCACACATGGTGACTGAGGGATTCTGGGAATTGTTCCATACATGGTGACTGAGGGATTCTGGGAGTTGTTCCATACATGGTGACTGAGAGATTCTGAGAGTTGAAGTCCACACATGGTGACTGAGGGATTCTGGGAATTGTTCCACACATGGTAACAGAGATTCTGGGAATTGTTCCATACATGGTGACTGAGGGATTCTGGGAGTTGAAGTCCACACATGGTGGCTGAGGGATTCTGGGAGTTGTTCCATACATGGTGACTGAGGGATTCTGGGAATTGTTCCATACATGGTGGCTGAGGGATTCTGGGAGTTGATGTCCCAATTCAAGGCGCCTCTGGAACGTGCTGAGGAGGCATTCCGCACCCTCCTGAGGGGATCCAGCCCAGAGCCGGCCTTGACGCCTCCTCATTCCTTCCCTTGCAGGATGTCTACGATAAAGTCAGCTACCTGAGCTCGCTGGGGAAAACCCAGATCGCCGTGGTCCAGCGAGACGCTGATATCGGCGTGGCCGAAGCCGAGCGAGACGCCGGCATCCGGGTACGTGGAGTGAGCGAACCCCCTCGGCTGCTTCGCCGTCTTCTTTGGAGGGTCCGGGGGACCCCGCTGAGCGGCCGTGGGCTTTTTGTCGCTGCAGGAGGCCGAGTGCAAGAGGGAGATGTTAGACGTGAAGTTCATGGCGGACACCAAAGTGGCCGACTCCAAGCGGGCCTTTGAAATGAAGAAGGCCGCCTTCACGCAGGAGATCAACATGAAGGTGAGACTCTCTTGGGGGGGGAGAGGTTGGAGCTGCAGGAGAAAAGAGCGTGGGAAGCTTGTGGCAGGTTGAGCACCTTCCCTGAAAGCTCCCTTGACGCTTAGATCCCGGCAGAAGAGGACAACTGAAGCCCAGGGTTGGACTTTAGGTGCTCTTGGTGCTCTCTGAGCCTGCTGGTTTTCTCCCAGACGTCTCACGGCCCAACTAGGTGACGTCATCAGTGCTAGAAGGGAGTGTGTTTGTGCAAAAGAAGAAAGAGGAGGATCCTTGGTGCTCTCTGAGTTGGACTGTTTACTTGAGACGTTTCATGACCCAGCTAGCTAACAGCATCAGTGGTAGAAGGGAGGACAGTTTGGGAGGAGGAGGAGGACTGTGGGGTCCTTGATGCTCTCTGAGCTTGGTGGTTTGCTTTCAGACGTCTCATGACCTAACTAGGTGACATCATCAGTGTTAGTAGGGCGTGGGGTTTGCTCCCTATTGATATGTCACAGCTTCCCCTGTCAGTGTTGGTGAGGGACGCTTCCTTGGTTAGGCTGTTTTTCCTCTTGATTTGTCTGTCAGTTTCCTGATGTTTGCGGCTTGATTGTTGGTATAATCAAGAGGTCTTCAAACTTGGCAGCTTTAAGACTTGTGGACTTCAACTCCCAGAATTCTCCAGCCAGCAGAGCTGGCTGGAGAATTCTGGGAGTTGAAGTCCACAAGTCTTAAAGCTGCCAAGTTTGAGGACCTCTGCTCTAGTCACTCTGGTGTTAATTGAACCTCTGCTTATCTAGGTGTTGATTGCCAGCAAGAAGGTATCTTGGTCTTTTCCTTTTTGTTTCTTTTGAGTGGAATTAAATGTTGTTTATTTCGATATGCCTAATAACAGCCGATTCGTCTGAGTGCCCGGCTTCCAGGAATTCTCCCGCAGTTCCTTAATTAAGGACCCACCAGAAGGAAAACAACACTCCCATCAACACAGGCAGGGCAAGGCACTTCTCTATGAACATAGAGCCAACCCTCCTCCCTTTCTAGCACTGACGATGTTACCTGGTTGGGTCATGAAACGTCTGCAAGAAAACCCCAAGCTCAGAGAGTACCAAGGACCCCACAGTCCTTTTTTCCTCCTCCTCCTCCTCCTCCTCCTCCTCTTTGCAAATTCCACTCCCTTCTAGCACTGATGATGTTATCTAGATATTTATCTATGAAATATCTGCAAGAAAACAGCCGAGCTCAGAGATTTTTTTTTTTTTAATTTGATTTATATGCCGCCCTTCTCCGGAGACTCAGGGCGGCTTACAATGCGTTAAGCAATAGCCTTCATACTTTTGTATATTTATACAAAGTCAGCTTATTGCCCCCACAAACTGGGTCCTCATTTTACCTACCTTAGAAAGGATGGAAGGCTGAGTCAACCTTGAGCCTGGTGAGATTCGAACTTACAGTAATTGCAGGCAGCTGGTCTTAATAACAGAGTGCTTTAGACCACTGTACTACCAAGGCTCTAAAAAATAAAAAATAATAAACACCCCATAATCCTCCTCCCTCCTCTTAATCTCTCCCCCGCTTCATTCCTTCCTCTTCCCCATATCCTACGCCTCTTCCTCCTCTCCACAACTTCCCTCTTGTAGCACTGATGATGTTACCTAGTTGGGTCATGAAATGTCTGCGAGAAAACCGCCAGGCTCAGTACCAGGGACACACCTCAGTCCTTTTTTTCCTCCTCCTCCTCCTCTTCCTCTTTGCAAACTCCCCTCCCCTGTAGCACTGATGATGTTACCTAGTTGGGTCATGAAATGTCTTCAAGAAAACCAGCCCAGCTCAGAGAGCACATCAAGGACCCCACATGCTTTGGCTAGCCCATCCTCGGATGCGGAGCGGAGCCAAGGGGGCCGTGAGAATGGTCTTGGGTGGGAAAATCGGGAATCGAGACCGTGTTCTGTTGGGTTGGCGAGGAGAAACCTCATCCGTAGCTCTGGGTTGGAGGGAAAATCTTCCCCACCCCCACAGGCAAAGCAGTGGCCTTAACACCGGCCGTTCCCCGTCTCTGACCTCCTCCTTTCCTCCGGACAGTCGGCCGAGGCTCAGCTGGCCTACGAGCTGCAGGGCGCCAAGGAGCAGCAGAAGATCCGCCAAGAGGAGATCGAAATCGAGGTGGTGCAGCGCCGGCGGCAGATCGACGTGGAGGAGAAGGAGATCGTGAGGATGGACAAGGAGCTCCACTCCACCGTCCGGCTGCCGGCCGAGGCCGAGGCCCACCGCATGCAGGAGGTCGCCGAGGGGCAAAAGTGAGCGTGTGGCAGAGGGCAGGAGACTTTGCTCGGGTGGGGTGGGGGGGTTTCCACAGGCTTCCCTCCCCCCAATCCTGAATCTCCCCACGTGGTGAAACGATGGGGACCATCAGTCAGAGACCTACATTGGGAGGGGGGGGGGTCCCAAGAGGTCTCGTCTTCTCTGCTGTGGTGCCCACCTTCTGCAACGTCCTTCCTCCCCCCCGTCCTTCCTCGACTTAGTGACCGTCCAAAGTTAAACAACCGCACTGAAAAAAGTGACTTAGAACCATGTTTCACGCTTACGACCCGTCGTAGCATCCTGTGATCCGAATTCAGCAACTGACTTGTATTTACGACGGTTGCAGTGTCCCCGGGGGATCGCGTGATCCCCGGTCGTGACCTTCTGACCAGCACATTCCATGGGGAAGCCAAGTTCGCTTAGCAACCGCACGATTCACTGAAGAACGGCAATTGATTCCCTTAAGGAGGGTGGCAGAGCGGTTGTAAAAGGAAGCGCAACTCATTTAGCAAACCTCGCTTAGCGATTGGAAAACGTTGGGCTGAATTGCGGTCGTAAGTCGAGGAAGGCCTTCCACAAAGTTTTGCTTTGCTGGCTGAGGAATTCTGGGAGTTGAAGTCCACAGGTCTTAAAGTGGCCAAGGTTGGAGAGCCCTGCCCGAGAAGGCCGAGGGGGCCCCGGACCCCTTCATCAGCGCCCGTCTCTTCCTCTCCAAAGGGTCAAGCAGGTGCTGATCGCCCAGGCCGAAGGGGAGAAGATCCGCAAGATCGGCGAGGCCGAAGCTCTGGTGATCGAGGCCATCGGCAAGGCGGAGGCCGAGAAGATGAAGCTCAAGGCGGAGGCCTACCAGCAGTACGGGGAGGCAGCCAAGATGGCCTTGGTGCTGGACGCCCTGCCCCATGTGAGTACCTGGCCTGGGGGTGGGGGAGGGCAGGGGGCTCCCTTTCCCTCCTGCTGAGCATCTCCATCCTTGACGAAAAGGAAGACTAGGGGGGACAGATCCCAGTAACTGAGGGGCTGCCCCAAAGAGGGGGGGGGCAATTATTTTCCCAAGCACCAGATGGCAAAACAAGAAACAACCGGATGGAAACTAATCAAGGAGAAAAGGAAACTGGAACTAAGGAGGAATTTCCTGACAGTGAGGACAATTGACCAGTGGAACAGCTGGCCACCAGAAGTTGTGGGTACAGCTGTGGAGATAGGACAGCCATTTGTATGAAATAGCATATAGGGTCTCCTGCTTAAGCAGGGGGTTGGACTAGATGACCTCCAAGGTCCCTTTCGACTCTGTCATTCTGTAAAAAAGATGTGGAGACTCTAGAAAAAGTTTAGAGAAGAGCAGCCAGGATGATGAGGGGACTGGAGGCTAAAACATACGATGAACGGTTGCAGGAAGTGGGCCTGGCTGGTCTAGTGAAGAGAAGGACCAGGGGAGACAGGAGAGCATCTTCCAGTATTTGAGGGGCTGCCATAGAGAGGAGGAAGGGGGTCAAGCTATTCTCCAAGGCACCCGAAGGCCAGACAAGGAACAATGGATGGAAACTGACCAAGGAGAGATTCAACCTGGAAATAAGGAGGAATTTCCTGAGAGGGAGAACCATCAACCCATGGAACAGAGAAGTTGCCTTCAGAAGTTGTGGGAGCTTCATCACTGGAGGCTTTCAAGAAGAGGCTGGACTGCCCTCTGTCAAAATGGTGTAGGCTCTCCTGCCTGAGCAGGGGGTTGGACTAGATGACCTCCAAGGTCCCTCCCAACTCTGTCCTTCTGTTATCCCTCCGCAGATCGCAGCCAAGGTCTCGGCTCCCCTGTCCAAGGTGGGCGAGATCGTCATCCTCAGCGGAGACAACAACAAGGTGACATCGGAGGTGAACCGGCTCCTGGCTGAGATCCCGGCGTCTGTGCATGCCCTCACCGGAGTCGACCTCACCAAGGTGAGCCAGGGGGCTGCGCCTCCTCGCACTCGCCCCCCTTGGCCGGGGAGACCTGCCGCATGGGATGCAGGAGTCTGGTTGCTGGAGGCGGGGTTCCACCCGAGCTCTTGGGGGGGGGCTCCTCTCAAGACAGAGAGGGGAGACTTAAGATAATGCCGGGTGGGGTCCCGGGGCCCAGAGGCCCCTTTTGGTGGCTGCAATCTCCGTCTCTTTTCCTCCTGCAGATTCCCCTGATCCAGAAGGCCACCGGAGTGCAAGCCTGAGTCTCCACCGGTTGGGGAAGACCACACCTCCCATGATGCACTTCCCACCCGCTGTGGTCTCGTGGTTCAGTAGGGGATGGGGGGGAGCCCCTCTCAGTGGGTGCCTTAATCGTGGAGGAGCACGGCTGCCCCCCCCTTCTCCCCCCAACCGCCCTTTGCATTTCTAAGAGAAGGGTCTCCCAGTCGTTTCTCTGTTCTGTGTCGTGCTAGCCAACACCTCCCGTCCCCCTCCTTCCTCCTTCCTCCACCTCCAACTTCGTGCCTTGACTGCCTGCACCCGCCACCCCCCCACCCCACACAGACTGTTGCTTGCCCCCTAATCTGAGGGGTCAGATATGGGCCTGACCTCCCCATGTACACACCTGGAGGTCTCTGTCTCTCTCCCCGCATCCCCTCCGTCCCTCCAGTGGGTGGGCTGCCTTGGAGCTCCCAAGCTCAGGGTCTGCCCTGGTGCCCGGAAGAGGAAGTGGTGGGCCGGGAAGGATTTGACGGACAGCTTTGACTGTGGGTCGCATAGACCCTGAGCTCACGGTGCACGTCCCCCCTTCCCACAGCCACCTGTTCAATGGTTTGTCTCCGGATTGTGCCTGGTCTTTAGCCGGTCTGCTGCCTCCTTCTAACGGGGTGGGTCCCGACCTCCCAGAGCCCACCCCTCACCAGCCGTCCGCAGCTTCGCCTGTGTCCAGTGGAACTGCCTCCCCTTCGGCCAACCTGCCCCACCCGCGAAAGTGCCTGACCGGTCAGTCTGGATCACAGGCGGTGCATGCTGCCATCCCCCTCCGTCCTCCGCGTGCCTCGGAAGCCCTGGAAGGGGGGGGCTGAACACCCCCTCCAGGCTCTGCCCTGCTCCTCCGGGCCACCCCCCCTTTCCTCACCAGCACGAGTTTTCATCCGGGCAGCTTCCGTGAGTCGGCTTCGGCCCCTGAATGCCAGCAGCCAAGGAATCCCGATGCTCTTCCCCCAAATAGGAAGCCCCTTCCTCGCACTCTGTTTTGGGGGGCTCTCTCCTTGAGGCCCCCCTGAGAAAGGCCGGGGCTCCGTGCTGAACCAGAGGGGAACCAACCCTGGTGTTGCCTAACTCTAAGGGCCCAAATTGGCTGGCTGGCTTCACCCCCACCCACCCTTTACAGTCCATGAAAGGGGTTTTCTGTCTGCGGAGGAGGGAATCCACCCTGTTTCTGATTTGGGGGGCAGCTCTGCCCCCCGTCTGCTGTGAATGCAAGGAGGGAATTGAGGCGCCCTGGATTCTCAGGGTGGCACCTCTCGTGCTGTGAATTGGGGTCCTTGCCGGGGTCTTGTGCTGTGGGGGTGGGTGGGCATGGGGGGGGGGATGCCACGAGGCTGGAGTCCATTTCTAAAGGTTAGCATCCCTGCAGGGCTGCCTGCTCAGCCTCTGGAGGTAGCCGAGTCCTTCCCAGTCCCGCTGCCCCCCTTGGCCAGCCCTCTGCCCCACAGAAGCTGCCTGCTCCCCCACTCCCTTCCCTGCTTGGGCGTGGTGCATGGCTGCTGGCCTGGCCAAATGTGGCCAGGAATTCTCATTTAGCCAAATGTGAAATTATAATGGGACAATAAAGTTGTTGTGATCTTGCTAAAGCTGCTCCTGGTCTTGACTCTGAGAGGGGGGGCTTCTGGCAGGAACACGGTCGAGGGTCTGAGGGCCGCCTTCTTCCCCGGCTGGCCAAAGACCCCCTTCCTGGGCTCGGCCCCCTGCTGAGACTTTGCCCCGAAGGCAGAGCCCTCTATGCCTGGCGGTCTCGGAACGTGGCCACTTTTGAGACTCGTGGACTCCGACTCCCAGAATTCCCCAGGCAGAGGCCGCATTTTGGAGAGCCCTTCTCCATCTCTAGAGGTTCACTGAGATGCTGACTCCGCAACTTTAGGATGAGTGGACGTCACCCTTGATCACTGCAATATGAGAAAGATGCTGAGATTCTAGAACTGTTTCTCAACCTTGGAAGCTTGAAGATGGGTGGACTTCAACTCCCAGAATCCCCCAGCCAGCAGCGCTGGCTGGGGGATTCTGGGAGTTGAAGTCCGCCCATCTTCAAGCTTCCAAGGTTGAGAAACACTGTTCTAGAAAGAGTGCAGAGAAGAGCAACCAAGAGGATTATGTTCAAACATATGAAGAACGACTGCAGGAACTGGGCTGGCCAGTCTAGTGAAGAGAAGGACCAGGGAGACAGGAGAGCATCTTCCAATATTTGAGGGGCTGCCCCAGAGAGGAGGAAGGGGGTCAAGCTATTTTCCAAAGCAAAAGGAAGGAAGGAAGGAGGGAGGGAGGAGGGAGGGAGGGAGGGAGGGAAGGAAGGTGGAAGGGAGGGAGGGAAAGAGAGAGAGAGAGAGAGAAAGAAAGAAAGAAAGAAAGACATCTGAATGAACCATAGATGGACAGAAGACATGGCTAGTCTAGTGAAGAGAAGGACCAGGGGAGACAGGAGAGCATCTTCCAATATTTGAGGGGCTGCCCCAGAGAGGAGGAAGGGGGTCAAGCTATTTTCCAAAGCAAAAGGAAGGAAGGAGGGAGGGAGGGAAGGAAGGTGGAAGGGAGAGAAAGAAAGAGAGAGAGAAAGAAAGAAAGAAAAAGAAAGAAAGAAAAGAAAAAAAGGAAAGGAAAGAAAGAAAGAAAGACATCTGAATGAACCATAGATGGACAGAAGACATGGCCAGTCTAGTGAAGAGAAGGACCAGGGGAGACAGGAGAGCATCTTCCAATATTTGAGGGGCTGCCCCAGAGTGGAGGAAGGGGGTCAAGCTATTTTCCAAAGCAAAAGGAAGGAAGGAAGGAAGGAAGGTGGAAGGGAGGGAAAGAAAGAGAGAAAAGAAAGAAAGAAAGATATCTGAATGAACCATAGATGGACAGAAGACATGGCCAGTCTAGTGAAGAGAAGGACCAGGGGAGACAGGAGAGCATCTTCCAATATTTGAGGCTGCCCCAGAGTGGAGGAAGGGGGTCAAGCTATTTTCCAAAGCAAAAGGAAGGAAGGAAGGAAGGAAGGTGGAAGGAGGGAAAGAAAGAGAGAAAAGAAAGAAAGAAAGATATCTGAATGAACCATAGATGGACAGAAGACATGGCTAGTCTAGTGAAGAGAAGGACCAGGGGAGACAGGAGAGCATCTTCCAGTATTTGAGGGGCTGCCCCAGAGAGGAGGAAGGGGGTCAAGCTATTCTCCAAAGCACCTGAGGGCAGGACAAGAAGCAAGCAACGCATGGAAACTAATCCAGGAGAGAAGCAACCTAGAAATGAGGAATTTCCTAAGAGCGAGGACAATCAGTGGAACAGCTTGCCACCAGAAGTTGTGGGTGTTCCATCACTAGAGGTTTTAAGAAGAGATTGGCCAACCGTTTGTCTGAAATGGTACAGGCTCTTCTGCCTGAGCAGGGGTTGGACTAGAAGACCTCTAAGGTCCCTTCCAATCTCCTGATTCTATGATTCCCCTGCCAGCAGAATTCTGGGAGTGGAAGCCATCTGGCTGGTCTGTTGCTTGGGCCAACAGTGGCCATCAGGGCCACACAGTGCGGCCGTCTGCTCCCTCTGATAACCTCTGGGACTAGTGATACCCCGGTTTCTGTTCAGAGGGGGGCAGCTCGCTCTCGGGTGGGGCATCCCAGGTGGAGCCACCGATAAGGCAGGATACAGTCCTTTTTGGACTCCTTGTTGTGGGGGTCCTTATCTGGGGAGAAGCAGCTGGTGGGGGCCTCCTGGGCAGGGCAGGGGTCTGCCTGGATAGCAGGAGAAAGTCGAGCGGCAGCTGGAAACCGATAACAGGCATAATTCTCCTGGCACTGCCCAGAAAGATGCCACCTGTTCCTTGACTCTCTCATGGGTGATCAAGGAACATCCTCTGGCATCCACAGCTGTGCAGACCCCATATGTCTTGTGGGGCCCAAACCTGTCCCCCTTTTCATCTTAGCAGCACCCCCAGATCCTGTGGCTTTGCCCTGGAACAACCATAAGGATGCCAGTTTCTATGCCAGGCCAGCTGGAAGGGTCCCAATGCAGCAGTGTCTTTGGCCTGTCTCTAGATTAGGGGTCTCCAACCTTAAGACTGGTGGACTTCAAGTCCCAGAATTCCCCAGCCAGCCGTATCCTTATTCCTTGTCTGCTGATCTGACCTGGTTGGGGAATTCTGGGAGTTGAAGTCCATTCATCTTCAAGTTGCCAAGGTTGAGAATCACTGGTCTAGGGTATCCTGCTTGAGTAGGGGGTTGGACTAGAAGACCTCCAAGGTCCCTCCCTACTCTGTCATCCTGTTATCCAGCTAAGCCCTACAATCAGCTGGTTTTTAGTGTGCAAGACGGGAGAGTAACAGTGGGCCTGATAAAGTCACAAATGTGAAATAGACAGGGATATAAATTTAATATAAATATATTTTCCTTTTTTTAAAAAAAAAATCTTGCATTCCATCGTATCCGATTCTCAGAAACTGCCAGGACAGACTTTGGCAGTTTCCTTGACAAGGTTTTTCAGAAGTGGTTTTCCATTGCTTCCTTCCTGGGGCAGAGAGAGAGCGGCTGGCCCAAGGACATCCAGTTTGTTTAGTGCCCAAGGCAGGACTAGAACTCACCGTCTCTCAGCTTCTAGCCTGATGCCTTAGCCCCCCTCCCTCCCCCAAACTGGCTCTCAAATAAAGGTCTATAAATACCTAAAAAGCTGTTCTTTTCTTTTTTGAAACCTATCAGGACTAGTGGCATGAAATTAATACGATTTGAGCCATAGCATTCTGGGATACAGGACAAATTTGCATCCACGAAACTATATTTGGATAAATGGCAATCATGTGACCCCGGGGACATTGCAACCGTCATAAATACGAGTCAATTGCCAAGCGTCTGAATTTTGATCACGTGACCACGGATACTGCAACGGTCGTAAGTGTGAAAACCGGTCATCAGACAGTTTTTTCAGTGTCATTGCAACTTTGAACAGCCACTAAATGAATGTAAGTCGAGGACTACGTGAACTGCTAGTCTCCTGGCTGCCTCTTCCAAAAAAAACGTTTCTCCATCATGGCAACGCCAAAGATGGGTGGACTTCAACTCCCAGAATTCTCCAGCCAGGAAAGTGGAGCATTCTGGGAGTTGAAGTCCACAAAGTCTTAAAGTGGCCCCTGGTCTAATTGGTCAGGAAGAGTCATGGCTGACTCGGTGCCACGTAACCAGAGCATTGAACAATGACCGCTGGGGAAACCTTGGCCCACAAACCGATCTTGGAATGGGCACGATTAACACACCTCTGGCGCACAAAGTGGCCAGCAAAGCAAGTGTGGAGGACAAGGAAGGACTAGATGACCTCAGAAGGACTCTACAAGGCGGAGCAAGGCAATCAGGCTCCTGCTGAACCCCAAATTTGACGAGAATCGGACACGGCGATCCTGCCAAAGCCTTTCCTGGAAACCCAAAGAGACATAATTCAGTGACAGGTAGTCTTCGGGTTACGACCGCTACGGAGCCCAAAATTTATGTTGCCAAGGGAAACATTCGTTAAGTGAGTTTTTACCCCATTTTACGACTTTTTCCTGCCACGGCTCTTAATGCAAAAAATGCAAACCGCTGCACTTGTTAATTTAGTCACCCAGTCGTTAAGTGAATCTGGCTTCCCCGCATTGACTTTGCTCGTCAGAAGGTCCCAAAAGGGGATCACGTGCCCCCCCTGGGACACAGTGACCGTCATAAATATGAGTCAGTCTGAATTTTGCCACCAAGTGACGGAGCGCTGCAACGGTCGTAAGTGTGAAAAATGGCCATAAGTCACTTATTTTCAGTGCCGCTGCAAGTTGGAACGGTCCCTAAGCGAACTGTTGTAACTCGAGGACTCGTGTGTGTGTGTGTAAGCCGATTGGGCCTGCACCCCATTTCCCCTTAGGATCCCCAAGGGACACGGGGCAGAGGCTTGACTGCCCATGTCACACAATGCCCTGGGCTGAAAAGGGGCAGATGGCATCAAGCACCTGGCAGCTGGTTCTTGGGCGCAGTGGAGGGTTGGCTGTGTAGTCGGAGGCCTCCCTGCCCAGCTGCCTGCCAGGGCCGGGTCCCTGATAAGGAGGGGGATATGGGGAGGATGCTGCGGCGGTCTTTATCAGCACCGGACAGGCCAAGCGGACAAACACACACCCCAGGGGGCGAGTCATCGGAGGAAACCTGGCTTGGTTTCCTGATCTGAGTTCTCTAACCAGCCCCACCTCTTGTCTCCCCCCTCCACCCCCCCCCACAAACGCCAATGGCCAAAAGCAAAGATGTTTCCTTCACCAGGACACTCGGCTCCTGGCCCAGTTTCCAGTGTCCGGCTCATCCCTACAACACCTGCAGAATGAAAAAGTTAACACTGATGACGTTACCTAGTTGGGTCATGAAAGGTCTGCAAGAAAACCACCAGGCTCAGAGAGCACCAAGGACCCCACAGTCCTTCCTCCTCCCCATCCTCCTCCTCCTCTTCCTTCTCCTTCCTTTTCTTTCTCCCCTTCCTCCTCCTCTTTGCAAACCCCTCTCCCTTCTAGCACTGATGGTGTTACCTAGTTGGGTTATGAAAGGTTTGCAAAAAAACCACCAAGGGGAACTTGGTAGTACAATTTAGCACTAGGCCTGGGCACCTCCAA